ATCCGTATTCAGTAAGTTCACAGGCATTTTGACCTCGCTGTTTGCATGTCAGACCCACGGTGATTCTTCACCACGCTGGAGAGCTGACCAAGCACTAGGAGAGAGCGACTGTCCAGACACTCACAGCTGCATTTTCATAGACCAAAAATCAGGATGAAATTATGCAGTTGGTCCACTGCTTTTCACCAGGAACCTGAAGGCGTGCCAGATGAGGAGAGTTTGCTTCTAGATAGAAGTCTAGTGGGAGGCTTTGCTGCTTCCGAGGCTTGGAGCACATGTTGGATATGAGAATAGGCTCTGGTGTGGTACAGCAGTAGTATCTTCTGCAGGCTTTTGTACCTGGGAGCTCTTCCCAGCTTCTTTGAGGATTACATCTGTACTTAAAAACAAAAACAAACAAAAAAAAACCCACAAAACAACAACAACAAAAAAACAAAGCAGAGGAACTGTGAGGTTAGGCCTAAGTTAGAGAGGGAACAATGTCTAATCATTTTCTTGCTTAAAAAAGTAATTGAGAGCAGATATGTGTTAAGAAACTGTTGAGTGATTCAGGTTTTCTGTTGACCCTCACTTAAAGTTAACCCTTATAAATGTTCTGCAGCGGTTCTTGTGAAAATCTGAAGGAAACATTCCCAGGTGGGAATGTTTACCTGCTTCTACATTTAGGGTATGTAAATGTACATGTGGAAATATCAATGAGGAGTAGGCTAGGTCATGTGAGAAATAGGGATCCCACTCTAGGTTAGGTTTTGTGTATTAGGCTGACACACTTCTTGTATGATACTGTATATTTACACCTTTATTTATATGAATAAAACTTCTTCTAATGAAAACTGTTTTAAATGACTTATATATTATAAACAGCGAGTGCAATAACATGAAATAGATTGTACATTTTCCAATTTGCTGTCTCTGTTATGTAAATCTGTGTTGCCATAAACTGTTTTGTTTGGGTTTTTTAGTGATTTTGAAAATAAATGGTATCCTTAGTACTCCTCTAGGTACTTATTTCTGTCACACCGAGGTCTGGCTGGTCCATGGCTGGAGCTGGCATTGCAGAGAGGAAGCTGTACTGGGGACAGAGGCCATGCAGTAACACTGTTAAGATGTGCATCTAAACCAGAAGTGAAGTACTGCCCTCCAAGAACAGTCATTCAGAGTAAGCAGGATAAAAGCATTTAAGAAACATTAAAAGGTGCTTGGGACCTGCTTTGGTGTCCCAAAAGATGTGGTGGTTTTTGTTTTGTTTTGTTTGTTTGTTTCTTTTTTTTTTTTTTTTTTTGTTCTCCTTGCTCCTTTGCAAGGAGAATGAAAATGGCGAAGTGGAAATGAAGAGTTTTCATTATGAGCAGCAATTTCTCAGCCTCCTGACCAGCAATGAGCTGTAAGGAAACAGGTTATACGTATAGGAATTATGTGTATACAGCAAGTCCTAGCTTATTATTTGTTTTCTTTAGCCTTCCCAGGGGGTATGCTCCCCTCTGGAACCCTGCTGCACTGGAGGTGAGGGCTGGGCTGGATGTTACTTTAGAGGGGATGGAGTCGGGGTGCAGTGGAGTTCACAGCAGGAGGCAGAGGCCGAGAGAGAGCTCCCAACGGGGAAAGCTGCTAGCATTCACCTTTTGAAGTTGCTGCACTGTGGCTGGAAGCCAGCCTGCCACCCAGAAGGATGCGTTGGCCTGTAAAGCACAGTGCAGATGTTCTCCCTGGGAGCTGCTCTGACACGGGAAATGCCGGAGGCTCCCAAAAGCAGCACTGCCTGCGAGTGCCTGGACATGTCAGTAGTCACTGTGAGGTAGGCAGAGCGGGGGAAGGAGCTGGTGGGTTAAGCATTTATATCCTCTTCACCAGCCCGCATGTCAGTGCGCATTGCTCTGCATCTGAGTGATGGGTTGGGTGCTCACAGCAGCTGCATGGGTGGAAACTCCCAGCCCCTGCCCTGCCCTCTCGCTCACATGCCTCTGCTCAGTGCTTGCTAACCTCTCACCATTCACGCTGATTTGCAGTGCTCCCAGAAAGAGCTGGTGGGCCTCTGGGCAAGTGGAGGAAGGCGTCTGCATTTGTCTCCATCTCTGGACTCACGTTCCAGAAGCTTCTGTGTTTGCTTTCATTTTCTTTATTGGGTGCTGTGCCAGGAAGGTGCAAGTGAGCAAGAGTCACGTGCGGAGGCTAAAGTCCCATCCCTTCTGCTGAGTCACCCCAGAAAAAGGCTGCCTCGGGTCCAACGGGTGGGAGGGTTGTCCTTCTGTCTGTCCTGCTGTCGCTTCATCCTAACACAAGTTGATCTGGGGGTCCACAGCTTCAGAGCAGCCTGGCTCTTGCAGGACCAGTCCTGAAAGCCCTTAATTAAAATCTTAATTGCTCCAGACAGTGGCTCATTGCAGAGAAATACAGCAGAGATTAGACACAATGGACTTAATCCATAAATGGATTAGCACATGGGACCTCATTTAACACTAAGCCATGTATGTTGGTGAAAAGTCAGATTTGGCTTTTCCCCAACCCAGATGTGTTTTGGAGACCAGGCTTTTTCTGAATCTATTGGAGTTCCAGCAAAGGGGAATCTTGGCACAAAAAGCAGAACTTTGTGCTCTGGGGCATGGCTTTTTTTTTAATTCCCATATCACTAACATACAGGGCTGAGAGATCCAAAGAAGATAACTGACTTAGTTGCAGTCAAATTTATCTTCCTGCCTGAAAAGTTTTGCCTCGTTTGCCATTTCTGTCTTTGTATCTTTGCTGTTCTCCTGTTCCGTTAACCTTGCTCACCCGGATTGAGGGTCCATGTGCCTCTGCTGTGGTTATTCATGGACCCATCTAGATTTCCAGCATTATGTCTGTCTTTCCCTCAGCCTGCTCTGCTCTGGGCCCTGCACATCCAAGGCCTTCAGCCGCTCTCACGCTCCTTGCCCCGCAGAGCCTCACCACCATGACAGCCCTCCTTTGGGCGCTGTGTGACAGCTTTATGTCTGTACACTGTGGCACCCAGCCTGCACCCGGAGCTGGAGGTGAGGCCGCCCAGCACAGAGGGAACAATGCCTCCCCTCACTGGCTGGTAGTGCTGGGCCTGAGGCACACAGGGTAGGGTCAGCCAAGAAAGAAAACCCCTTCTAATGCTAGTAAGCACCCTCTCTCAAAGCAAGGAGTTTCCCTTCCATCCGTATCATGTAAACCTTGCCTGGAAGCAAGTTTCCCAGCAGTCAGAGTATTTTCTGAACTTAGCCAATAACAGAATCAGAACCTTCTTGCCTTTCTGCTGATGATGCCACGTATGTGGCCTCACCTCTCTGAATCAGTTTGATACTGCTGAGCAAATAGGCTCAGGAGTTCCTGCCATCTTCCCCTTCCTGGTGATGTGCCTTCCATGCCATGCCACTGCTCCAGTGCAGTGCTGGGGAAATCCTGTCTGCTGTGGGGGAAAGGGACTGCCCTGGTTCCTCCTCCAGAGAGACATGGAGCAAACATGGCCTTGTTCTCCACCACAGCTTGGTTATGTCCCCTTGAGGAGCACAGAGGGGAAGGAAACATGGCCATGAATCCCTGGTACACAGTGGAGCTGGCTGTGTGCCCAGGTCGGATTCTGAGTCTCGAGCCAAAGGGAGGAGAAACAAGGGTAGTAATGCAGGGAAACCCAAATGGCACAAAGCCATGTGATGGCAGCAGTATTCGGGGTATACCAGCCCCAGGGCCTCTCCCCAGCTTTATGCAGTACTCTGAGGGCTCATAGACAGCTGAGATTTGTGTCACCAAGAGACAGTGCAGGGGAAGGGCAAGGGCAGGCAGCAGCTTTGGTACATTCATACCATCATCCAGACAGCACTGGTGCACTCAGGCAAAGCCGCATGTTTGCAGCAGTGTCAGGCCTATTGCTTGCTGGCCGTCCTGCCATTTGCTTTAGGGAAAACCTTCTGTACCAAAAGCCAGCACACCGCATCCAGTGCTGCTCCATCCCTGCAGACACACATCATGACCTTGCTCAGTCTTGTGCTGACGTGAGAGGAAAACAAGAAAATAAGTCACTTCCAGAGTGTATGCTAAAAATACACAGCAGTGTATGAGTTGTTGCTTTCCGAATGACTTAGAATAACATCCAGGGGGAGTGTGCTCTCTGTTGTCTGTTGTCTAGCAATTTGTTTATGAAATACCACTGGCGCATCCAGCCCTGCGCCGGCTGCTAACACGAAGCCGGTTTTCGCCCAGCTGAGCGCAGTGTAAACGTGACCCGGCGACATGTGTAGGGTCAGGCACGGGGTGTTGGTGTCTGGTTGTGACACCAGGTGCTTGGGATGAGTCAGGGCCCTGCAGACAGGAGGTGGGGGCTTTGTGCCCCATAGGGCAGGTTGCTGCATGGTACTACGATGCCTTTGGTATTTTTGTCATTTACCAGATTCAGAATCTTTGGTCAGAGTTTTATCCCTCTTTAGTGCTGGGAACCTGTGTCCCGTGTGGCACTTTGGGCAGCATCTTGGGTTCTCCATGTCCTTGGACCTCAACTTTGAGGTGGAAGGTCTGTGCCACCCCTTGCTATTCCCTCATGGTAAGCAGTGTGGAATTTCACCCCTTTCAGGGCTCCAAGATCAGACTTCAGAGAAATTAGAAATCTGGCCTTAGTGAAACACAGCATCTCCTTCTGCCTGCATCCAAAAACAAAACAAACCCCAAAACTCAGCTTCAATGTTTGCCCTTCACTGGTGCCTGAAGATTCTCTGACATAAAGCTGCAAAGCTCTGGTGGTGGTAATAGTGCCCCTGGCAGTAGCAGACTTCTAGAAATTGCTAGGTGCCTCGATGTCTCATGTTGAAGTTCACGGGTATGGGTATGTGTTGTTATGTGTTGCTCCTCTTAAACGATGCTGCTCTCCCAGCGGCAGTCTGCTGTTGGTCTGGTGTATGCCCTCTGACTTCCACCTATTTGGAAGGAATCAGTGTAATATGATTGCTCATTTACAACCCTCACAAAAACTGGAGTTATAACAATGACTCATTTTTTTTGCTTGCACTTCATATTTATTATCTCAACAAGAATTCAAGACATACATGCATGGGGCATATAGGGAAATATCTGGCCTTAAGAAAAACAAACCCGTGTTGATACTTCATATAATAGCAAATGTTCTGGGGAAGCAACAGAAGGAAATGTGGGGAGGACATTAGCAGGCTCATGTACTGGCACTGATCACCTGGATACAGACATTTTCCTGAGCTCACTCGATGCTAGCACTTGACAACCCTTGAAAAAACAAAAACATTTCACAAAAAGCAAATATTCCTTACAGATCTAGGCAGAAAAACACTTGCACTGGTATTTCATGAAGATGCCCCCATCATAATGCGTTTATGAGGACAGATTTTTTTTTTTTTTTTTATAACATTTGTGTTGAATTATTGCCCGTGCTCCATGAACTCCTATGTAGGAGCCTAATTTCCTACAGAGTTTCAAAGCAGCATGAAGCAGAAGACCTTTATCCAAATATATTTCAGCTCCCGATGTAAATGCTCTGTGCTCCTGAGCCAGGCACAGCCCACAGGGTGTCACCAGGCCATGCAGCACTGCTGTTCCTATTGATTGCAGGGCAGGCAACCTTACTGAGCAGCACGCTGGTGTTTAACTAAAACTCTTTGCATTCAGTTTTTTTATAACTGGAAAACTGGTGTCTGTAGATGTCAGTGAAACATGTTGCTTTCCAACAAGAAGATGAATTACAGCTATTCCTGCTCCTGCTTAGTGGTCAGTGCCAAAGAGCAGCAGCCTCGTACAGCTGGTTGTGCCAGAGCAAGCAAATCTGTCAGCTATGTCATAGCAGCTTTGCAAAGGCAGAGGAAGGAGAGCGAGCTGAAACACGGGGTATAAATAAAACCAGAAAATCATTACCAGGCAGGAAAAACTGAACTGGAAATCAGGAGGTGCAGCTACCCACCCTTACGCAACACAAATACAGCTGCATACCAAAGCAGCACTCATCTAGAGGAGCAAGTGCGTGGCCTCACCTGACTTTCTGTGCTACATCTCCTGAAGGAGATGTGTGTTCTGTGCATCTCTGAACACTGACTGAAGAGGTAGCGACAAATGTCAACAGCTAAGGCCGTTTTATTGCTAGTGTGCACCCTTGAAAGAACACTGCTCAGGAGCAAGACGTGGCATGCAGAGGTGGCACATGTCTGAGCTGTGAGTTTAGTGCAGCTCCTCTGGAGCCAGCAAGGGGAACTCCAAGTTACAGCAGCACATTGCCCCTCTCCGGGTGCTGCAGCAGCTCCATCTTTCCGGAAACAAAATGGGGGTGCCGTGAAATGAAAGAGAAAGTACAAGGGAAGGATCTTCCCTTAAAGAACTATTGAAGATTGCGGCTGTTTATCTGTACTGACTGCAACAATCCGTTTTATGATTTCTTCAAAGAGAGGCAGCTGCCTTCTTTGAAAAAACGACAATCTGAAGAAAATTCGAGTTTTGACTCAGATTCAACTTTGTGGTCTGTTGATGAGTTATTGTGTTACTTAGAAAAGCACACAGTGGTGTTGTATTGTCATCAAGGACTTCTTTTCAGTGTTGGAAGAAACCGTCCACTCAACACACATACCTCAACATCAGCATTTGTACAATATACATTCGTATCACTTATTTAATGATTACTACATTATGTTCCCCTCTTTAATGCGAGAAGTACTTCCTGTATCATCACAAAACATAATGCTTTCCTCTGGTTAGTATGAAGTACTTCCATCATGTTTTGAGCATTTGTTCATACTACTCTTTGAGCCTAAAGAAGTAGCATTCGCTTAACAGTTCTCTGAAATCCTCCTCTCATACAAGGGGGCTATACATATTTATATTTTATATATATGTAATATATATATATGCAAATATATACATATATATAATATACAGACTAGAACTATGCAACGTCACATTAATTCACAGAATTGCAATTTTTTTTTATCCCCAAAGCCACTTGCTACAACAAATAACCTTTAAATTAAGGCAGTGGTTTTAATGAACGGATGAGATATCCCCAGCACCACCACTTCCCCATCCAGCAGAATCCAAGCTGTAGAAGATAAGAGCAGTCAGAACCTCAACACCGGCTTTCACCTCGTGATTCGTGCCCACGTTCCACAACCCTTAGTTCTTTCTCTGCTTCGGAACCTTCTGTCCACAGTTCTGGGTGGGACGTGGGATGTGAAGGCAACAAGGGAAGCAGGGTTCTCACAGAATTCCCCAGCCCCGAGAAGGACAAGTTCCAACCTGCCCCACATCCCCCTGCAGAGCAGAGAGGGGCTGTGCTCATCACTTTGTTTTCTGCTTGGCATCCATAAAGCATAATAATGCTGTAACACTTCCCACAGGAATCACGTAGCGACAGCCATCCTTCGGTGGCTCCAGGTAGCAAAACACAAGTCAAGGAGCTTTCTCTGTCTCCCAGTGTAAGTGAAATCTCTCGTTCCAGATCTGCAAAGCCGAAATCTCCCCTTTCTTTTTCAGCACCGCGGGCGCGGCGGCTCACGTTTTGGGGCAGAAGAGTTTCGCGATGAGGTTCAGGACCTTCTGCCGTAGGTCCGCCTTGTCGCCGATCCTGCGCAGCTCCAGCGCGCACTCAGCCACCGCGTCCCGCTCTGCAAAACACGCGCAGGGCGATGGGGGTTTAATTCTAGCGAGGTCTTTTCCAGATAGCGATATCGGGGAAGGGAAGAAGAAGGCGAAGAAGAAAAAAGAGAAGAAAAAGGGAAAAGCGTGTATCAGTCCCCCCAAAAATAAAAAAATAAAAAATTGAGACCTGTCTCCCTTCGCTTTTCCCTACCTGCAGGCGCGGCGGGCGGCGCAGGTTTGCGTATCGTCCTGCCAGGCATCATCGCGGCAACGGCTCCACACGGTCCGGCTCGCTTCGGCTCGGCACCTCTCGGTTCAACGCGGGTCGGCGGCGGCGGGCGACTGCGGGCAGGCGGGGCGAAGCGCACCCTAAGAGCGGAGCTCGGCGGGGTTTTCCCTCTTTTGTGATGACGTAACGAACTGCGCGGGAATCCCTCCCCCCCCCCGGCCCGTGGCGGGAGCGTGTCGGAGCGCGCCCGGGCCGGTGGCGGTGTGCCGAAATAAAGCGTGGCGCGGAGCGTGGAGGGACGGGGTGTGTTGGGGGGAAGGGGATGGGTATGAGGGATGGAAGGCTGTGTCTTCCGGCAGGGAGAGAAGGAGGGAGGTGTGCTCGTGTTAAAAAAGGGTGGAGGGATGCGGTGGAGTGCATGGGCAGTGAGGGGTGGAAGGATGGACTGTGCTTGGCACGGAGGTGCGGAGGAGTGGGCAAGCAGCAGCCAGTGACTGAATGTGCCTATGGTGGGCAAAGCGGCGCGAAGGGACCTCTGCCCACTGTTAGCCAGCAGGTACTCCTGGCACAGTTTTCTAAGGTTGGTGACCTTGTCCTCAAACCTCAAACCAGGTGGAACAAAAGGAGCTGACCCACACCTGCAGCTCGGGGTCCTTTCCTGCTGCTGGGCCCTCGCACAGTGCCCGGGCGGCCCCGGCAGCCTCAGGTGCTCACCTGCAATTGCAAGTTGTGCTACGCGGAAGAAAAGCCAAAATTACCGTGTGGCCCTCGTGACTTTGTGATTGTAGCATACTTTTGGGAGAGCTGCCAGAGGTCTGTGAGTGAGTCACCCGTCTGCAGGATAGTTTGTGTTTACATGAAAACGAAAAAAAGAGAAAGAGAATAAGAAGGGCTGGACGTAACAAAGAGCTGATTTGTGGTTGGGTGCAGTGCATACCCACCTTTCTCACTGCAACATTACAAGCCGGAAAAGATGCTGCAACAGGGCGGTCAGGAAGCGCTTCCCTGTGGGATCAGAGCCTCTGGAGCAAGTGTCCACAAAGCTGATGGATCTGCTGTCTGTGGGAAGAGGAAACTTCACCAGCTCAGCTCAGAGCCCCTTTTCCCTGTTTGTCTCGGGGTGTCCTGGTGGAATCCACAGCGAGATGTGGATTTTGCACAGCTGAGGCTGCAGCACCGCGAGCTGCACTGAGCAGGCACACGAGATGTCAGTGCCCACTGGCACTTTCCTCTGTTTGAGAATGCACTGCCCTCATCTCTCACCTTTTAATATAAAACCTATAAGCTTATTGGCTAGACGTGATATTTTTGCGTTCATTTCACATCCACGCCAACATCTGTGTGTTTGTAATTCGGGCCCATACGGGGAAAGCTGCCCTTTGACCTTTGATTCCTGTTATGGGAGAAACTCTCTCCAAACAGGTCTGTTGAGTTTAGGTGGTGGGAAGGCAGCAAGCAGCCCTAGGATGCATTGCCCCTGTGGCGGGTATCCCTTGGGCAGCACTGTGCACTGTTCACAACCCCATGAACAGTGGTGCTCAGCAGCTTCAGCAGCACAGGGAACAGGGACACACTGGCCCTCTGTGTTTTCCTTCCCCCAGAACAAAAAGTGAGGAAGAGGAACAGAGGCACAAAGCATGGAAAGAAGAATTGCTGTGAGCATTTATTTATCTCGTTTAGGCAGAGCTAGAAAAATTTTGCTCTCCTGTGTGGATTTGGAGAGAGACATACTACTCAGGCATAAAAACCAGTGCCCTTCAATCTTGATATATCACAGAATCATGGAATCACTTTATGACTTGAACTAAAAGGGACCTCAAAGCCTCCACAGCCCCAACCCCTGCCGTGGGCTGGTTGCCCCCCACCAGCTCAAGCAGGCCAGGGCCCCATCCAGCCTGGCCTTGAGCACCTCCAGGGATGGGGCACCACAGCTACTCCAGAAAGTCTGTGCCAGGACCTCACTGCTCTGTGAGTCAAGAATTTCTCCTTAGTAGCTAATCTAGCTCTATCTATCTCCCCTCTTTTAATTTTAAGCCCTTCCCCCTTGTCCTATCAACTGTCAGACTGCATAAAAAGTCAGTCCCTCTTCTGCTTATAATCTCCCTTCAAGCACTGGAAGGCCATAGTGAGCTATCTGTGCAGCCTTCTCTTCTCCATGCTGTCAAGACCAACTCTCTCAGCCCTTCTTCATAGAAGAGATGCTCCATTCTCTGAGCATCTGCCCAGCTTAGCAAGGCTCCCTTGCCAAAAAGGGGGAAGAGCCTTTAGAGGTAGCTCATCCTACTGCCCCTGCAGCAGCACCAAGAGACAGACTCTCTTCTTTTGAACATATGCAGGAGAGGAGATGCTTCTCCCTGCCAGAGCAGTAGGGCACAGATCAGTAGACCAGCTGATTGGCAAGGTTCATTTATTTCTTTCTGTTTCTTGAGAACGGTGGTAGGGCAATAAGAAGAGTGGGAAACTTCAGTGTGCAAACTGGTTTAAGAAGTCAGAGCTCCTGCAGTGTTTAACTTTGCATGCCCTGCCACTGCAGCCCTCCTACGTGCAGGGAAGGGAGCCCACTGCCACAGGAGGAGCTTGCTGGGTGCTGGTGGACAGTGAGGCTGTGGCCAGGGGCCACTCTTTGCTTTGCACAGTGTGGCAGAGTGAAAAATAGCCTGCTGTGGTTACAGACTGCCAATGAGCTCTGACATGTTTGGTTTCAGTTCCTCTAAACAAAGCAGCATGGGCTGTGGGAAGAGCAGTGCCCCAGGAGACTGCTCCTTAGAGTGGTCTTGAAAGCTTGTGGGCCATGGGACCCCCGTAGGCACAGCCTGGAGGAAATGGGTGGGAGCAGTGGTGAGCAGCCGTGGACCTCAGAGCCATTTTTCTGCTTATCAGCAACTGAGGATTGAGGGATTGTGCAGCTGGGAAGGGAGAATCCCAAGATGCAGTGCGTGGAGTCGTGCTGGTGTCAGGCATTGCGGTCTGAGCAGCACTGGGGATCAAGAGCAGCGCGTGACCAACCTGCAGCATGACTAATGCCAGTGGGCAGATGTGATGAAAGGAAAACGAATGCTGCAGAAATGAAAACAAGCAGGAGTGAAAGGAAAGCAAGTGTTTTTTTCTCTAAACTTTAATGCTTGTGCTGAATCAGCTTTGAGCAACGCCTCTCTATAAAGTTAAATAAATCATTGCGATGTTACAAGAATCCTTCACTATTGAGTCCTGCAGCCCGGTGCTCGTTGCTCTGTACTCACCGAGCGGCTGTGTGCTGCTCTCTCCCTTCCTCTTTCTGCAGACTACATCTCAGCGGCTCCTGCAGTGAGTGCTGGAGCAGGAAGCGGAGCTGCACTGCCAGGGCTGTGAGCCAAAGGTCATCCGGAGCGCAGTGGGTGCAGCCATGCCAGTGCATGGTGGCTGTGGTGGCTGTTGTGCTGGGCATTCAGGCCATTGGGTTTTTTTCACTGCTGAAATGGCTCTTCCTGTTGGTTCCTGTTAGCTGTCCCTGCTGGGCTGGCTCTTGCTGTTAGAAGTAAAATCATGGAATCATGTAGGCTGAGAATGACCTTCATGATCCCCCAGTCCAACTATCAGTCTGACCTACTGAGTCCCATCACTAGGCCACATCCCTTGATGCCCTGTCCACATGTTTTGAAGAACTGGGACACCACCACTGCCCTGGGCATTGCCTTCATCCTCTCTTTCTACACTGTGGAGCCAGGGGCTCCCCTGCATTTCCACAGCCACAAAGGAAGATGTCAGTGCAGATTCACACAGTCATGTAAAATAATTAATTCCTCTTTGAGTTGCTGGAGTGATCTAACATCAGATAAGAAATGAAGGAGAACTCCAGTTACACCCAACTTATCAGCTGTTTAAATATTACCTAATTTCCCTACCACTAACCGTAGACCCTCCCTCCTTTGCTGTTTTCCTTGCCTGCTTTCCTTGAAAGCTCAGCCATGTATTTCCTCAAGGTGAACGTCTTGTTCATGTACAGCAGTGCTCTCCCACTGACAGGTGGGTGAACACCTATCTTCTCCATGACAGTCTGTATGCCAAACAAGCTGCATTCATTTTTTGGGGGGTAAAGAATGAAGGATGACTGGAATGTTTCTGGCCTGGTGCTCACCACAGGCAGGGGCAGTTGTCCTGCTGTCAGCAATAATGTATGGTTGAGGATGTGGTTGGGTACCAGAGCCACTCCTCAACATAGCTGGAGAGCAAGGTAGTTCATATTGAGTGTGTGCTCTTTGATAAAGAAGTAACTGTGAGAAAAGTGGGCCAGTATGAATCAAATGAGGTTCAATGAGGCCAAGTACCAGGTGCTGCCCCTTGATCGAGGCAGTCTCAGGTATGTGGACAGACTGGGAGGACTGAGAGCAGGGGAGGACTTTAACGTTCTGGTGGGTGAAAGACTTAACACAAAGCAGCAGTATAAGCTCCCAGGTCAGAAGGCCAACACTACCTTGGGATGCATCCATAGAGGCGTAGCAGGACGGAAAGGGGAGAGACTGTCCCCTTCTGCTCTGCCTTCATGAGGCCCCATCTGCATTACCACATCCAGGTGTGGGGCCAACACAAGAAAGGTGTGCTGTTGGAGTGGGGGTAGAGGAGGCCCACAAAGATGCTCAGAGGATGGGACACCTCTTCTATGAGGAAAGGCTATGGGAGCTGATCTTGAATATCCAAGAGAAGGCTTTCAGGAGACCTTACTATGGCCTTCCACTATTAAAAGGAAGATTATAAACAGGAAGGGGACTAACTTTTTACAGGGACAGATTGTGATAGGACAAGGGAGAACTGTTTTAGACTTAAAGAGGAGAGATTGATAATAGAATTTTTACACACTGAAGATGTTAAGGCACTGACACAAGCTGCCCGGAGCAGCTGTGGATGTCCCATCCCTGGAGGTACTTAGAGTGGATTGGATAGGGCACTGTGCAGCCTGAGATGGTGGGAGACAGCCAGCCCACAGCAAGCAGGGTTTGGGGCTGGGTTGGCTTTCCCAGAGCTTTTTCCCATAGCTTTCAGGCTATACCATTCAACGAT